TATATGTCTGGCTGATGTGTGAAATCCACCCCGCAGCATTGCTTCAGACGGGTCAGACCGGGACGACTTACGTCGACCGAGACGATGGACCGAGACGATGGACCGACGGATCGACGGATCGACGGCAGGATGCCGAGAGAATCACACCGACAGATTTTGGCTGGGAGGAGGTGCCGGCCAATCATCCTTCATGGATCTTCATGGATCTTCATGAGTGAAGAATCAACAATTGAGTGGTAGACTTGACGCAAAAAGCTGAACAAGGAGGCTACTAGGAGAAAATGGCAATTTCTACTAGGAGCAAGGACACTACTAGTAGCTCTTGGCCTTACTAAGAACAAGGACGCTACTAGGAACAAAGGCGTGTTGAGTATAAAAACCTTTTCGGGTCCATTCACAGGATGACAATGAGGATGACGTGTTCAAGGGCGATGACTTCAACCAGGAGGATATCACAGAGTCATATCCTATTTCTTTGGGTTTCCGCCCTGGGTTTGGTCAAGTCTTGTGATCAATGTAGACAGTATTCCCAGAATATCGGTAGGAAATCCTGCAGGAGATATCCACGCAACCGCCTTCCAGCAAGAACATCAACTTCGATGATCTGTCGCCACTCAGCAGAGTGTCCAAGATTCAGGAGACTGTTTTGGAGTATCATGGTCCGCATCTCCAAATAATTGCCTTTGTTCCATCATTCTTGTCAATTCAGCATACAAAGCAGATCAACTGCCGAAGGCTCATCGGTTTAGGCAGACCAATGCTGCACAGACTCTTCCAGCAGCCGCCAAGGAACTTTGACTGATCGGAGCTGCCACATATGAGTCCATCATCAGTCCATCTATTTTTATGTATTTTTCTCATCAGTCCATCATGTGCCACCATTTGAAAGACCTACCGGTACTCACGTGTGATGGTTTGTACCGCTATGTTTCACCCTCCAGCCTCTTGCTTTGTCTTCAGTTTTGTCCACCCGGGTGGATCTTGCTCCAGGATCTTGAAGATTTGTTGCTCCTTTGTAGCGAGGGCCAAGTTGCCCAGGCCAAGCGGGTGTCAGGAGCACGGCATAGCACGGCGACCAGATCGGAACCCCTTGTTGCGGCTTCGCCCTTGACCAGATTAAAGCGAATAGTTCGATTTTAAAATGTGTTAAACGCCTTACTGGTACTTGACGATGCTGCGAGATTGTACTTAATCTACGGACCAGGGTGATTGAATGCCCTGAAGAGAGCCTACAGTAGCACCAATGCGACTTGATCCAAGAGTCGTTTGGGGGAGATGTCAGTGGTCACTACTAGGAAGAGTATTCGTAGTTACTTATGAATGAGCGGCCTTTGCTACTAACCGTTGGCCATTGTCATCCAGTGTAATGTAGAACTGGGGCGCGTGGATGTTGCTGTCTTGGTTTGAGCCATGTAACATAGACAATGCCCGATGAGATTACAGGTGACTTTGTCCAGGAAGAAATAGAAAGAACGGTTTAACTGCGGCAGGAAGTTTTTCGGGAGCCTAAGGCCAGTTCATGACAAGTTCTGAAGACTACAGTAGCAATAGTTTCACATGAAAACAAGTTGTCATCGTGTCATCCGGAGGCTCTTACATCTTATGAGCAGATGGAGGAGCAAGCGAACGAGGATGGCAACCGTCCAGCTGGCTTGGGCTCAGAGAGCTGTGACAGGCTTTTCTCACAAAACCGTGTTTTTTGGAATGTACCTGAAACCTTCGGAGCAACAGCAACAGTCCAGTGATTAACTATGTTTCTTCAACCAAAACTTATGGTTGTCTTCCACCAGACGCTCGGGCCAGGGAAATTGCTGGGGCAAATGCATGCCCATCCTGACTTAGCAGACCTTCGCGTCATCAAGAAGCGGCGCCCGGAGCCGTAGCACTCATCGGAGCAGAAGGTCTGCGCCGGAGACACTCTGATGTAGTTAAGGGGCCACAGACTTGCAACCCTAACACTGCAATGATTTGTTTGATGTTTGGTGGCATACTTAAGCATCTTAGCAGGGACCGGAGAGTGTAGGTACTAGTAGGTATAAAAAGGATTAAACAGGGTTTGTTTGTTTTTGAATTCAATGGAGGATTTGAGTGCTTTGACAGATTGGAGGATTGCGAGATGGGCGCCGCGCTGCATACTGTAGGAAGGTGTGCCAACTTGAAACATTCTGTTGAGGGGAACCATCCTACTATTGGACAACCACCGATGCAGAGGCAGTGTGAGATGGCCTGGATTCCAGTGTACCTAATGTTCTGGACAAGCATGTAGCACCAGGTCCACACATATCAGGCCGTTATGAACCAAAGCTGTGTGGCAACTGGTGACTCGGTCGTTCGCGTCTTCGACTCGTTTCTCGAAGGGTCAGCCTGGCCATACCGTGGCCACTGGGCAGCGTCCTTCATTCAGCATGGCTGAGGCGCTGCCTTCTTCAAAAGACTAGTGGAGCCAGCATGGAAGGCAGCACCGTGGTGTATGCCTCTTGATACCTTTTGATCCTTTTGTTGCCTTTTCTTGTATTCTGTCAAAGATTTTAAAAGAGCACCAGACCTCCGTTCTCGTCCGGAATTCCGCTTTCCAGAACCCAATGTCGGGCTTCAGGATTTGGCTTTTGGTCCCCGTTTTCGTGATTCAGTCAGCGGGGGTTGTCCATAGTGTTTCTTATTGGCTCTTTGCCCCAGATGGTTATGGCTGCTGTGGGAAGAAAAAGCAGATTGATGTGATACGGTGGATGGCGGAAATCCTGCGGCACCCATCAATCAGCAACGCCAAGAAAGATGTCTGTCATCATAACATGTTCTTACTCATTTTCTTATATTTTCTTTGACCTCTTAATCTCATTTAATCTCAATGTTGTACTGTGAAGCTAGGTCCAGGTGGCGTTGTAATTCTGCCATTCCTAACTTTCGTCTTGGGATGCGTCAGAACCAGACAGGCCGAGATGATCTACAATTCAGGTTTCAAAGGGGGGGATTTCCGCTACTCACAGCCCCCTCAGAGCCCCTTGCGCAAGACGCAGAACACTTCCAAACACATTGTTTGGCCAACAAGCACCATTTTGGAATTCAGTCAAGAGTCTTGACGGGGTTCGTTCAAGTCGCATGAAATTGTTGAGGAAGATGTCGATTTCGCCGGGACGGGTACTGTAGGGAGTGATCAATCCGTTAGGACCCGTTAGGATGCGTTTTTGTGGAAATTCCCTTACATGACATGAACTTTTCTTCTTATCTTTAGCCGTTCTCCTCTTTCGTGATCCAGTTTGTGGCGCCATCGGTTTTCAGCTCCTGTCCGGGATTGTCCTGGCTGATCTCCGGTTCACGTCTTGATTTGTATAAGGAGCCGTTTGATTTGACCAGCTTATGCCAAGCTTCACACGCAGCAGAGTACAGCCACTAGGTTGTGGATGGTCGTGGTTACAGTCGCTTAGTTCAGCAGAACTGCACTTCAATGCACTTTTGCAACGAGTTCTGGTCAGGGCAATTGGGATGACAGTGAGTGGAAGAGCTTTGTCATCGCCGATCCGGAGGTCAGAGGGGAGAGTCCTCGAGCGCAGAGTTTTTTTGACACTTGGCGACTTGCTTTGTTCTGCTACTAAGCTATATGGCTAGACATGGCTAGACTATATATTTTAAGGGATAATACACATGTAGAGAGATTTCAACATGCTATATAACAAGCCGGCATTTGGAAGTGAAGGTTGTGTCAATGTATGGAATAAACCTCGTTTAAGCCTTCATGAAGGAGCTACTGTAGGTTGTTTGCCGATTTGGTTTGAACGGTCGGGAACGGTTGGAGAAAAGCACCTATAGCCACATTTAGTTGCATAAGTTGCATATCTAAAAGCTTCTCAGTTGGAGCAGCACGGACTTGTTGAGTTCCTGCGAGGCTTGCTTGATGAAATCTGGATATTCCCAGACTCCACGGTTTTTCTTCCCAGACACCTTTAGTCGGAGGTGTAGGTTCACACGGCGACGCCATGCCGTGGCAATTCCTTCGTTCGGATTCGCCCCGGTGACCGTCTGGTTGAACGCCTCAGATCGACCCGCTCTTCAAGGTGCACATGAGGTGGGAGCGGCCTTTGATGAACATCAGGGCATGGGCTTTTGATGAACATGTTTTTGCTTTGGAGCTTCCAATCTGAGAAACACTGCAAGAACGTTTGTGTCAAATTGATAGCTTACGTAGCGGAACCCAGTTCAACCGGTGGACCGAAACCCTAACAGGATGCGCTTCGCCCGGGGCGGCGAGCGGAATGCGGCTAAAGGGTTTGGGCCTCAGATGGCCTGAAATGACTCAGGAAACGGGAATGAAGTACCAGACAACTTTGTTGAAATCTTTACGGAATCGATTTTGGTGGCTCTAGAACTCAGTGTGAGCATACCGCAGCAGTCTCAGCACTTTGGCAAACTGGTTGTTTTTGTCACTAGAATATACTAGAGTAGGGGCAGGCAATGGCTCGCTGAGCCTTTGTGTACATGATTATACACTCACATATATATGTGGATTCTGGATGGAGAATACCCGGCTCATGCATTTTGCACTTGCGCAGCTGCAATTGTTTCCATGATTGACATATTGACATTTCCTAAGCCAATCATGTGCCACCAACTGCTTCCACCTGAGGGGGACTCAAATCCTCATCGCTGCCAGGGCTGAAGGCAAGGGACGGGAGTAGCATCATGCCTTGATGATCCTTGATGTTACCTACCTGAGCAAGTTCAAGCAAGGAACAGAAAGCAGCTCATGCTGACGCTATGTCGCTATGTGCTAAGTGCAGGTAGATTCTGGTGTGACCGTGACCTGCGACACAACATGAAAGACTCTGAAAGACCTATTTGCGTCTCCAACTGTTGCAAGTCCACAGCAACATCACAATTCCAGTTGCCAAGAACACTTTGGTATATTGATATTTTATTATATTTTGATGTCTTCGATCTTCATATTGCTTTCGATGCAACTCCAGTGGCATGTGAACCTTTTTGGCTCGGTCTGGCAATGGCACTGGAGTGACGATCGTTTTTGCGCATGCCCGACAGCCATGGATCTCATCACCGCCCCTTTCACCGGCATGGATCTCGGGTTGAGTTTGACTACAGTGATGGTAAGACAGCTTCCCAGTCGCTTGGGTCTGAATCAATCAAGAGGTTATGCTTCCCAGACTTCCCAGTCGCCGCAACATGGACATCCCAGCGGTCTTGCTGTAGATATGCTTATTTTACAATATACGGATCTTATTTAAGGTGTGCAAAAGAGCTGCCTAGATTTGATCTATACATCCCGTTGGATCTTTTGCCAAGCCAGTACGAATAATATTCCGTTTGTTTGCAACTATTTGCCATTGGCAGATCCTCCTGAATGTGACAATGTATGTATGTATGTATTGAAAACTTCACATCTCCAGAATATCAAGAGCCCTCATTAGTCGCATGAGGTCATTACACCCAACTGGATTTGTTTGACCAGCTCATCGAACGGGGATTCAAAGGGACCTTCGACTTCCTTTACTTGCCCTACGACAAGAAGAAGGCCGTGCACAAGGCTGGATGGATTGATTCTATCGGACTCTGCGCGTAGGGCAAGAAAAAGGAATGCATTATGAGTTTATGTATATATACATGGGTTTGTCTTGTCGTTTTTTAACGTGCCCGGTTTATGTAGGATGTTGATAACACACCCATATAAGATACTTGGTCTTGATCCCGCCAGGGCTATGGCTTTGTCAACTTCATCCACCCCATGTACGCCATCATGTTTCGCATGGCATTTCACGGCTGCTTCTTGAGCCCGTTCCTTGGGGGCAGTTCATCGGATGGGTGGGTGGAGTATCGGCCACTCATTCTGTCATGCTGTGACTGCTCGCATATTGGCCTTCCAAGTGACAGCGGTTGCAATGGTTTTGCTATTTGCCTCAAAGACATTCAACGACCTTATCAGTTCACATCAAGTCTGGTTGTGGTGTTTGTTTTGCAAAAAGTTTTCACGAAAGCCTGCCGATAGGCTGGCTGGAGTTGTCGATGGGGAAACTTTCGGAAGGTCAACCCAGAGCCTAGTGGGGGAGAGCGAAGAGTGCATCATTAGTATCATGAGGGGCTTAGGAGGCAATGTAAACCGTCTTCTACCAGAGATTGGATTTCATGTCGATGATAGGAAAGTGAAGGGGGGACAACGGGCCCGAACAGTGGTTGGACCGCGTCCAGGAGAGGGAGATGCGCGTCTCTGGTGGCCATTGAACTAGTGTTTGACCAGGGGTGAAGGGAGGTGCGTCTCTTAAGACACTGTTGTCTTGTGGAAATCATGTGATCTGTGAGGGCAGGAGAGGGAACAGAAAGCTGTAGGGAAGGGATTGCAAGGAATGATGTGATCCGGTCAGGGCAGGACAACAGAGTGCGGTGGGTTAGCTTTGTGAGCGCCATAGTAGCCAGGCGCAAAAGGGCACCCCATATAGGGTTGGAGTTCATGTGGAAGACAGGCGTAGCGGAGGAGGATTGTGGGGGAGGATGTGATAGGAAAAGAGGTGGGGAGCTCACCAGGAGGGAACAGAGTGCAGTGGGCTAGCTTTGAGTTGCTTGGCGGCCTTTCTCTATGGGGAAGAGGCCAGTTGACTAGAAGCAGAAGGGCATCCCATATATAGGGTGGGAGTTCATGGGGAGGAGGGGGAGGATTGTAGGTGTAGAGGTGGGGAGCTCTCCTCGTCCGTCGCTCAGCTCTGGGTGAATTGCCTCTCGCGCGTCACTCTACTGCGCTTGAGCTCTATCACAGCTTGATCGCGCGGCCACGGGACTCTTCCACGAAAGAGGCGAGCGGGTTGTAGACAAGTGCTGTATTTGGTGTGATTATTTTAGCTAAGCTATGGAACCTTGTTTCTTCATTTCTCAGTTGGAGTTCGAGCACCGCAGCTATGTGCGGGTCTGATGGGGCGTGCTGGGGCACATGGATCGAAGTAGCTGGATGTCGGGATATATCGGAGACTTTTTGGAAACCTTGGTGGCGCCTCTGTCTGAGTCTGGGGCCAAACACCAAGTGTCATGGGCGTGTGCGGGGAGTCAGGTGGCACTTGGCACCTCCGAGGAGATTTCCTTCCTTGCCCGATGTGAGATCCAAACGCCCCTTCATCCACAAGAACAAAATCACCCGGCCCCCCCACCCGTGACTGAAAGCCTATCACGTCAGCCTGCGCTCTCGCATTCACCCCCGCTGACTAATTCATATCTCCTTACGGAGGCCGGTTTTAATCCCCTCCCTTCTCAGTTTCAAGGCCTTGTCTATTTTGTCGCGAAGATTCCTATTCCCCGCGCCCACAATTTGAGCAAGGTCTAAGACCGCAGCCCTCAGCTACATTTTTGGACACACTAGAGGGCGAGACATATCAGTGCATACGCAAAACACTGAATTTTGTTATGTTACGCAGGCCAAATTGAAGAACATATGCATGCGCAAGCTCCTTGTCATGGAGACAATCATGTTTAGACAGGATCTGGATCGATTTCCCCAAAGCCATGCAGTTTGGCGTTGAGTTGCAATTTCGGAGCTAGTTTTGACACAGGGCATGTCACAGATTGTCAAAGGGACGCATCCTCTGTTCCACCAAAACTAGACTGGCCCATCACGCCTGCATTCTTGCGACGAAGAGGTACATGAGGATGAAAAACCGCGCCACCTTTGTGGAACTTGCGGAGATCCAGGGCTACGAGGCCAATCTGCAGCATTTGGCCAAAGCCCTGAAAGCAGACACGCACCCAGCCTTCAGGCCACTCCTGGGAGCAGGGGTTGCTCTCGCACCTCAGAATAGGGAATGCTAGGCTGCTAGACCGGAATGTGTTTGTTTTTCTTGATGCAAGGAGGCCTCGCGTTCTTTGATTTGATCTATCTATATACTTGTATATATATATATATAGCAATTCTTTTTGAAGGTCACTCCGCAAGACTCGCAGCATCCTGCCATTGGTGGCATGAGTCGCATGATCAATTGCCAGGCCTCTCTTTTTTCGTCGTTTGGGCGACACTCCGATGACATCAGCTGAGACTACACCGCGGCTCCATTCTGAACCGATGTCGCTTAACTTCGACAAGCCATTGGCTTAGTATGGTTTAATCGTGTTGAACAGAAATTTGTAAGCAGTTTCAGCACAAGAGCATGCTCCAACTGAGAGAGAATTGCCAAACTCCCGACAAGCCCTGAAGTGAAAACATAATCAGCAAGTATTTTACATTCTTTTACTAGGACCGGATGTGGTTGAGCTCGTCAACATTGCAAGGGCCAATCCACACTAAACATATATGATTATGATCAATATACGGATCCAGATGGGTTTTCTTAAGACAAGTACAGAATGCCGCCTCATGTCACATTTATTTGTATGTTGGTATATTTTACGTTGTTTTGCAATGTTAGTTATCGGAAAAGTTGCGCGGCACGGACGCGTTCTCAGCGCCCTCACTTTTTGTCATTTTTGCACAGGATACATTGGGATTTTGAATTCAGGACTGTCCTATTTGTTCCGAGGGTTCGTCGCATATTTTGGGGTGCTCACCATCTCTTATCATCGTCCCAGATCATGTGTGCACAACACAACACGAATGACGAATGTAACCATCTTACCCCCTCGAGGGACAAGATGGTTGCGTTCGCATCGCATTGCGCACACATGTGTATCTGAATCCAAAAGTTAAAGGGGTTCGTGAGGGGGTGGGGGAAAGATGGTTGCAATCGTGTCGTGTTGCGCACACATGTGTATCTCAAGGGGGTTCTTTCCGTTGCGCTGTGCTCACTAAGATGTCTTAAAAGGCCTGTCTGATTTTCAACATATTTTGCATAAGAACTGTATTTGTCCAGTCAGGAAGTTCCAGGAAGATGTGCTCGGGGTTAGGAGGTTCGTTTGGCTGTTCGTGCCATTTGAGCAGGGTGTTCAGGGTTAGGAGTCCTAGGGGGTTCTTCTGGCTGTTCGTGCTCAGCAAGGTTTTTCAGGCGTGGCACTGTTGGCGTAAAACTTTGGAACACTATAGACCTGGACAGGAATCAAGATATTGCTAGAAGTTAGTCCGACATTGACAGACTTTCGGGCAAGAAAGGTTGCTGCAAGACTCTGAATAGATATTCTGAGATACGGAGAGAAGAAACAAACAATATATGACATATATAACTCCGATGTGGAAAGACCGACAAAGAGAGAAGAAAAGCCGAAGATGGAGGCAAGAGGGAAAGCGCGCAGCCTGTGAGGGACAGGGCCGCCTGCGCGTGAGAAGCAGACAGGCCTAATAAGGAGACCAAACGAGGGAGAGGACAAGACCTCAAGAGGCCGGAAACCGGCAGACGGATCACGAGCCGGGGAGCAGACCCGAAACGTGACGATTCCCCAGACGAGGAATCAAACACATCCGGACAACGAAAGACAGAGAAGAGGAGAAGAGAGGCAGGAGACGAAGGAAGTAACAGAATGTAACAGAAAGTGCGAGAAACCCGGGAGCACAAGCAACATCAAGCAACCTACCACCTGCAAACAGACAAACCTGGGAACAAAATCACAGAGAAGAATACAAAACAACACCTCACCTCCCTGCGCCTCGGCCCAAGAGGCACCGAGACGAAGAGGAGTTGGGCTGCAAGCTGTTGCCGGCATGCAACCAGCTCCAAATGGTGGTATACGACCAGCTTCCGGCTATGGCTGTGGCGAAACGGTAGTAACTACGCCCGCGCTGATCGTGATGATGGCAACTGCAAAAACCAGCTCGGCTGGTCCGCGGGGGGGCACTCTTCGGGCTCACCTTGAGCTCTCATCTCGAAGCCCCTGAAGAAACCTTGGTGAAAAAGAGCGAACGTAAAACATGTGGCGGGGTCCGAACATCAAACATCCTGAGAACGCGTGACTGCCCGTTTCAGTTATGGGAACTAAAGGGCCGACACTTTTCCACGCAGGTCCGTCAGGGTGATCAGCCCTGATATGCTCTCATGACTGGGCTATTGCCCGCTGTTTGTAAACGTTGAAAAAGCACCTATAATTCCAAGGCTTACACACACATACATCAATAGCAACACCAAACCCACCCGTAATGCACATATTACTCAACAACACACCAAGACAGCCACGACAGCAGACAACAGACAATGACACGGATAATGACAGCACCAGGTTCATATTAGGACAAATGGGGATAGCTTAAACTCAAGTAAGTTTGCCGTATTTGGCGAATATGATCCGTACCTTAACAAATTGCCGTGTGCCACCGGCTTCCAAAGTGAATTTGAACAGTTTGTTTGAGTCTCCTAAAAGAGAATTTCTTGATTAATGGTTCGTTCGTTGGCTGATTGGGGTATATCGATCGATTGTCCTCAAGGTGCAACAATCTTATGTGCTGCAAAAGCATCGGTGGTTGGTTCGTTTCATACATTCAATGGACCTTTCTTTTTCAGGGGTTCCTCAATGAGGTGCTCGGATGACTTGTGCTCGGAGAGCTTTGTTGAGGAGGTGCCCTCCATGAAGTTTTGGCTGTGAGGCACCAGGCACCTGTGGCCACTCTGAGAATGGGCCTTTCGGTCCTTGGCCAGTCCCAAGAAAGGAGAACTACTGTGGGTTTTGCTTTGCCGATTGTTGTGCTTTGTCACATCTATGAGGCATTTTTGAGGCCAGGTGACCTTTCTCTTTTGACCATCTGGGGCAAGAGAAAACGTTTGTTTGGCGTGTTGGCACTTTTCTCTCTTGAAGGGCAAGAGAGGAGTTGACCACATGAGTGAGGGAGGAAAAGCCAGCTAGTGCGTGCTAGTGATATTGTATGATATGAACTATTTATTTGATATCGCTTGGCACTTGTTCAAACTGAATGGTGAACACATTTAGGTTCGTCATACATCAGCAGAGGCCTTTCCTCCTCATCTAGACCTGATCCGAGCTTGGTTGCCAGAACCTGCTCAGTGAAGGTATGAAATGAGCCAGAACCTGTTCAGTGACCAAAACAGCCATGAACGCGGGGCGCAAAGTGTTTTGCAACTGCAGGGGTACATCGTCATATTAATATTAGGCAACAGTTTTCGCAAGTTTGCTATTCTGCTATTCTTCCTTTCTGGTTCAAAGCCAACCCAATTTTAGTTGCACTTGCCGGAGGGGCACTGCTAGCTAGGTTTGACTAAGATGACTGCATCGGAAACTCGAAGCACTT